CTACTCACAACAGCAGTTCGAGGGACCTCCGGGCACGGCAGCACCGAGCCACGCTCAGAGCGGTCCTTACACCGACCCGGCTGCCGCACACGCTGCCTATATCGCGCCCGCCACCGATCCCAACCACAAGGAGAAGCGCGGATGGGGTGAGCGCCTCTCCCAGATGGGCATGAAGGCCGCTGTGCCCATCAACGCCCTTGCCAATAAGATGGGCTCGCAGAGCTTCCTGCCCACCACCATGGATAGAGAGTGCGACAAGGCGGCCAAGATCCTCAAGAGCTTCTGCAGTAAGTCCCCTCAAACCACACCCCCAACCATAAACAACCCCATCGAGCACTCGGCTAATACACAATTTCACAGAGGAGGGAATCACATCCGACGTACCCCCACAGACGGGCGAGCACCTCGAGCCCGGCAAGCACGCCGAAGCGACCGGTTCGCGCCCCACGACGCCCAACAAGGAAAAGGCGCGCAAGGAACCCAAAGCCATCGTCAAGATCCCCTCAAAGGTCATCAACAAGGCCGTCGGCCTCGCCATCTTCACCACCGCCCGCGTAGGCTTCCAGTTCTCCGGCGCAACCGGCTCCGGCATCCTCATTGCCCGCCTCCCCGACGGCTCCTGGTCCCCGCCCTCGGGCATCCAGGTCCACGCCCTCGGCGCCGGCTTCATGATCGGCGTCGACATCTACGACTGCGTCTGCGTCATCAACAGCCCCGCCGCCCTCGCCGCCTTCATGTCCACCCGCGTCAGTCTCGGCCCTGACGTCGCCGTCGTGGCGGGCCCCTACGGCGCCGGAGGCGTCATGGACGTCGGCGCCTCCTTTGGCGGCAAGAACCCCGACCCCAAGGACAAGAACGCAAACGACCACGTCACGGACGCAAAACCCGGCGAGGATGGCAAGCTCAAGCCCGACGAGAAGGACAAGAAGCGCAGGAGCAGTAGCACCTCGCTCAAGCCCGTCTTCTCCTACGTCAAGTCCCGCGGCTTCTACGCCGGCATCCAGGTCGACGGCACCGTCGTCACGGAGCGCAAGGACGCCAACGCCGCGTTCTACGGACAAAAGGTCACCGTGGACCAGATCGTCAAGGGCCAGGTGCCGCCTCAGGGTCCCAACGGCATGTGGCCCGCCGGCGCCCACCCGCTTTACGAGGCCCTCCGCACCGCGGAGCAGCAGCAGGCTCTCCCCGAGGTCCACCTGCCCCAGGCGACGCCCGGCCAGCAGGCCCCGCCCGGGTCGATCCCCCCTCACCAGCAGCAGCCGGCCTATGGTCAGCAGCAGCAGTACGGCCATCAAGATGCCGGCGGCCCGCTAGGTTCGCACCCTCCCGGCCAGGGTGGCCCCGTCGCCTCGGGTGGTCTGAGCCGCGAGGAGCAGCTCCCGGGTTACGTGGATGACGGTGTGGCGCGGGCTGGTGTCGGTGATCACAAGGGCCACTACCAGTAAAGAGGTGGCAAGGGCAAATGATTATGGGTTTGCATAGGAAAGAAGAGTGTTCGCAAAGGGCGAGAGAGATATCCCCATGGGCGTTTTTAGTGGTTGGCATGCTTAAGCTTAGCATAGATGAATTCAGATCAAGATATCCACCAACATCAATTTCTCATACAGTGAAGATTTGCAATAGTGACTTACCAATTCGTTACACTTCCGTTTCCCCTCAATTTTACGTGAACCTCCTCCGTCCCTTCGATCATCACCTTTAAGTCGCCTTCCCTGGCCATAAGGGAAAGAACAGAACAGAAACATGGAGAGAAAACTCCTCACAGATCGTTAGTCTTCCCCATCCTCGAAACACCAGAATGATATGGAAGAAAAGCCACGCAGTCGCCCGATAAAACAAACCGAACGCAGCCTGCACGCCACTCCTTTGGGTAAGTGTGTGATACACTTCTTTTGCTCTGCCACGCTTGTTAAGAGCGTGCCTCGCCTTACCCTCGCCTCCTACCGATTACACATCCTCCGGGATCACACAGCCGTTGAGATAGATTTTGCTTGCCCCAAAGTACGCATTCGAGTTACACACACCAGATGGAAAAAGGAGAAAAAGTTGACAAGCGCACGGGAGGGAGAAGACTCAGACACGGGAAGAAAAACACACACACATACTCACTTGCACATACAAAGCAGAAAAAAGAAAAGGAGAAATTGATGACGGCCGGGGCCGCTGCAGGACGAGGGTGAGACGAGGGATACATGTCTGCCCGTTGAAGTCTGTGGACTGTTTGTTGCGTGCTTGCTGCGCTCTCATGTATATATAACATTTTCCCTTACCTTTGTATGTCAAAAGTGCGACAGATCGTAAACCTGAAGAGGCAAGCAAAGCAGACTACGAGCAAGACTGTTCATTCACTCTTGACCTTTTGGTCTAGGAACAAAACGAGATCTTCCAATTGCCCATTGCTTGGAACAGATATTGGAGTGCGAAATAGGGAGGTAACTTGGCGAAACAGCAACCCCCAATTTGATAAGGACGTAGGGGGAAAGCAAGTAAGGGCTTTGACTGGCTTCCGCCAAGTCGTTCATCGTACGCGGCTTCATCTTGCATTCAAGTACACATGCTTCGGATGCTTCACAGACACAATTGCAAGCCATGTCTGGCTGGCTGCATCCGCACGCTAGCCCTAGTTGGCTTCGGAGGGCCTTCCCGAACCAAGGGCACGCATGGTCCTATTGCAAAGAAACATATGCTGCTGTTGCGGCCGGCAAGGGAAGCAAAAAAGCAATGGTTGGTTCTGAGCCCTCCTCAGATTGAGAGCGGCCATGCCATCGCAGTGAGCACAGGAGATCATGCAGGCGGGCCAAGTGCGGGGATGGGCAAAGAAATGGAGGCCCAATCAATAAGTCGAGTGGATGAAAAGGGATAGTTTTCGAAGGAGTAGGTTTGGACGTCCAGCATCTGTTGGAACTTTGGAAGGAATGCTTTCAAGCTTCTGCTTGTGAGCCACCGACGCGCTCGCAACAACAGACAAGAAGAATTCAAACGGAGGTCCAACGGAAATAGAGCCTCAAGGCTACGACCCCTATACGGTTCTTGATCGAGCCACTGAGATAACCGGAGGGAAGGGCGCAGATCGTGATATACGCCAAATACCCCTTGCACTATGGCAGCCGACAGGCCGTATGGAGAGCGATTGACAGACGATGGTGCGGCGTAGCCCAGGGGCCCACGGCCCAACTGCCGGCCGGCTCCCGTGCGGTCCCGCGTGGTTAGAGGTTTAGCATTGTGGCATCCATTAGATCAGTGACAATCAATCCGGAGCCGTCGCCAGCGCTGAATGGTGTATGGTGCTTGTCACTGGTTGGAAGTTGGCCAACGGGCTGGATATTGTTGTAGGGAATAGCCATATCGAGCAGGGCGATCCTCAAGCGATGTGAAACGGATCAGTTGGGTGATCCGCAGGGGTTCATCAGGTAACTTTTGACGCAATTCAGACGACGTTCATTGTGCGGATTGTCTTGGGTCCAAAATAGCAGCGGTAATGGACGGATGGCTGGTCCTCGGGTGCTTTTAGATGTGAGCTAGACGCCGTACCGGATGCTCTATTCCTCGAGGTAGGTATGTTAGACTACCCCCGCCGGCAGTTTATTCTTGATATCGATTCCGACATTCCAGTCCATAACCAGCAAGGCGGTGCATCGCATTTGTGACGATTGTCTGGACTTTGCTTGTCTCGCCAAAGCCGCAAGCTCGAATCGCGGGATTCATGCCCTGTTCTGAGTCGCCGGGTTCGCTGAGCGAAATTTCAGAATTCTCAGTCTGCGCGGAATTCGTGAGTCGTGGTGATCGGATCCATGAGCTGGTGGAGTAGCTCAACGACTGGATTTTGTACGCAAGGTTGTGCTGAGGACGTCATCGACTCCACGACGATGAGACGGCCTGGGATATGCAGGTCTCTCTGCGCCTTTTGACGTTTAGCAAGAATGCTTTCTGGGCCTTCGTCTGAGGTTAAGTCTTCTTCTTGCTTGCTTCGGCCTTTCGCCGGCGGTTCAGAACCCCCAGTGGCCCCTATTTTTGCCTGTGTGCCTCTGCAAAGTCCAAACTCCAACTGCCCACAACCCCTTCTTCATCTGATATCCCCACGCCAAGGAAACGGTCACTGGAAACTGGCGCTGAATTGATGGGTAACAGATCCGTCAGGCCATGTCGGGTCCATTAAATGGGCTCTCCAGATGCGGTGGGATGAGCAGGTCGATCGACCGTGTCCAGCAATGCTCGCCGTTTTTCTCTCTTTTCCTCATTCTGGGCTTCAGGGTGTTCTCTGTGTCCGTTGCACGATTCGCACGCGATTGGGACCGGTTCGCTGGTGCAGCCGTCATCTAAACATTTCCGATTTCTCGACGATTAAGCTCATCGCCAAGTCCAAATGTTTGTCTTGACTGGCCGGGGAGAGCTGGCGCAATTGACTTTTGCCCAACTTTTGACTCTGCGCTTCCCGCTTGTCGGGGCATGCAGTGGAAGGCTGGAAAGTATGTTGGCTAAGGTTCACGGCGTCGAACCGAAAGTCTGATGGACTGGGCCAGCTGCCGCTCCAAGCACCCGCCGTGGTTTGGGGATGGGTGGCTGGACGGTTGAGCTTCACCACCATGCGTGCATGCCACCATGGCTTGAAAGGGGAACAAAGAATGCGTGTCTGTTGTCAGAGAAATGCTGATCGGCCGCGGTTCGCAGCAGGATCCGCGTCATGTTTCGTCGAAGCAGAAAGGAATCAAACGGCGCCGGCACAATCCCTGAATCGGGAAGCGTCGCTGTCAGTTGGGGGTGTCTAGGTCCCTAGGATGCATGGACTCGAGAAATGATTTGTTGCAGGGTAACAGTCCATTGAACGGCGGACCCTTTTCAGCCAGCCTTCAGTCCGTTTTAGGACCATTATGTCGCAGGCACCGCAGGGTACCCGAAGCAGTTGTCCAGCCAGAGAGGACATTGGCTTGAAAGCAGCGCCTCCCGTCTTTCGTCGACGTCGATCCCAGCGGGATGGAACATGGGATTGGCTCTCTGGCTTCTTAGTGCTCCAGCCTCCAGGTGGTTCTATGACCGTTGAGGACGCTGAAAGGGACTGTAGCCGGTTGTACGAATACGTAGGAGCAATAAGGGCGATTGCTGAAGATCTGCTGAGCCTCCCCAGGGCGGCAACCTTCTGGAAGAAGCGCGGTAAGCAAGTATTTTGTTTTCGGATCGCGGCAAATGCGTAACCAAGCTTGGAAGACAGCAGCTGTTTGTGGGATCTGGGACCAGTCGGCAAAGGAGAGAGCGTAGCCAAGTGCGCAGCTAATTGGCCACTTTGGTGGAGGCGACGGTGCAAACTGGGTCGTCCGGTCAGGAGTGACGACGCGTAAGGCGGCCCGTTTTTCTCGTGGTGCAAAAAATAGCAACTCTTCTGTCGTATGCATCTTGATTTCTGGCAGACAGAGGGTTTCATTCGGACTAATACTGCGCAGGCGGCGGATGGCAGGAAACAGTGGCACCAGAACAGGCTGTGCTCGTGTATTAGCGGGTACACTGTATGAAGCGTGCAAAATCCTCAGTGGCAACCACGCAAACCCAAGTCAGGACTCGGGAAAGACGCTGCACCCGTAGGGCAATGCCAACCAGCTCGTGTTGATCGTGCTGCAGCGGACGGAACAAGGTGGCCCAGAGTACAGTGCACAACAGAGCGGGTTCAGAAGGGCCGATGACGATGGCGATGCAGGCTGAACCAGCGTCACGGGTTTGGTGGCAGAGGCGGCGACTCGGCGCGAATTGATGATGGGCCATCCAGTTTCTGTGGAGGGGTTCCTTTCCTGCCATCTATCCGTAGCTGGTGTAGCTGCACGGAAACAACTCCGTGGGAGTCCGTGGAAGACGCCATATGTTTCTTGATATTGACCGAAAGAGAGACACTGATAGTACCCTCCCCTTTCGGCTGACCGAAGTCGAAAACGGCTGGTCTGGGATTGAGGCGAATCGACGATGATCAGCAGCGTTGTATATAGATTGAGTAGCGAGTAGAGTTGTCCGAGCCGTGCAACACCATCCACCAAATGGAGAAAATCCACGGGCCAAGTTGCCAAGTCATTGCCTGCTGTATCCGTATTGAATCGACGGGACGTTTAATTCTTAGGGCCTCGACCGTCAAATCTGTCACTATCCGAAAATGGACCGAACGCGTTGCGCCGGCCCTTGGGAACCCTTCCGCGATGATGCCATGAGCAGTCTATTTCAGAAAGACCCGATTGGGAGCCGCACTGCGATATGAAATGGAACGGAGACGAGGATTCGCGATTCGGGTATCCGTACGGATAGACTCGACTGGAAGGGGTTGGCCTGGATGGCTTCGCAGCAGCAAATTGATGAAATTTGGATGGTTTGCAGATGGGGGTGGGGGGAGGGAAAATAATTAAGATTGGGGTCGCTCGGCACATGGGAAGGCGAGAGATTGCAGGTTGTTCGCGGGTACGGGAGCGGTACTTGGCGATGCGCAGTCATTTCGGTGGGCTCGGAAGGTAGAATCTGAGTTACTTGTTTTGTCGCCTTCCTAGATCATCTTTGGTAGATGGTCCCTTCCTAGGGTTTTTTTTGCGCTCCCAGTGGGAAGAAAGAAAGGAAGGAGGGAGAGGGATGGAGGGTGCAGAACAGACACAGGCTATCTTCACACCCCTCCAAAACGAAGCAGGAACCCCTGAGGGCCTGAGGAAAAGGGACAGACAGAAGGTGGCATCTTGACCAATCATGACGGTGCTCATTATGATTTTCTACATCCATACTCCGTACGGATAGTTGTATCTGGAGTGTGCAACCGCGGACCTTCCAATCGCGTGACATTGCCTCGAGCACGTTTACAGACTTGGCAGAGCGGCAAGATTGAACATTTGAAGATGGCGATCGAATCTGGTGGTCTGTGAGAGGAGGAATGGATCACATGAATCAGGATCCTCTCATCCCCCAGTTATGGTGAACTCTGACAGACTGATACGGATGAACATTTCGTCATTGCTTTTCGTTTTTTAATCGTACCCTATTTCCTCACACTCAACTTGCATTTGGCACTCATTTCGCCTTTTCCTCCGCTCATGCAGGGCACGCTCAAACACTGGCTAACAGCCCACTATCTGATAAGGCCGAATACTCAACTGCCACTCATATACACGCCAGAGGGAGGGAAAGTCAACAATCATGCAGATGGCCTTACTAATGAACGCCCACCGCTTGCGAATTCGCCCAAATCTGCTCTAGCCTCTTGGTCCCGTCTGCAATCTGTACACTAATTAGCGCCCATCCACAGGCGACTCGGCGCTGAATCCCAGCGGAGAGGGACGGTGGGCCGGCGTTTCCTCTCAGCTTGGAAGCTTGTGGCTTGCAGCTGGCGCCGGGCTCGATACGCAAGTCAGGAACAGGAGCCCGTTGATAGCGCCGTCTTGACGGGAATGTCAATTGAAAGTCAAAGAGCAGATCGGCCGACACCTACCTAGGCGTTAGCACGCTCTTTGACGCCTTCTGCCACGTAACCGCGCTCGAGGGCCGAAAAGAAATTTAATGCAGGCGATTGTCCATCGACAAAGTGTCGAATGTGTGTTGATAGCTGACGTCGTCACCTACTTTCTCCGCCAGGTTTCCAAGGTCATAGGTTGGTATCATCATCATCATCATCATCATCATCATCATCATGAGCAGCAGCAGTGCCGTCTTATCCACGATAGCGCCTCCGCATACAGCGCCCAGCGTTCTCGGCACGGTTGACAGGTCAGCCAGATGCCGTGCCCAGCAGATGGGATTGTTGGGTCCTTGCCGTCTTGGTACCGCAACGTCGTCGACAAGATGCATATTCAGCAAGTAGATCCGTGATCTCGCCAGACTGCTAGCTGGATATGGCGAGCGATAACGCAGAGCACACTGGCGACTGGTCACTGAGATGGAACTCCTAGAGGCAGGCCGCAGATTACCTTACTGCGTACAGTACCTAGAGCAGCACGGCAGTACACCGGGGAGGCTGTGAAGGTACGTACTGGACATCCCGACACGCACCCCACCCTAGGCCCCCACCTGCGCCTATCTGCACACCCCCCCTTTCCCATAGTGCCCCCCTCGTGCGTTGCCGGTCCTGGCCAGTCAAATTTTCTGATTCTTTCTCCGTCCCTGGTCGCGCAGGCTGGACCTCTCCCACCTCCCCATGTCTTTCCAGCTGTCGACCCATGCGCCGTGATCCAACAATTTTCAAATGCCCCCTTCTTTCTCACAGTGCCGCCCGCACCCAACACGCAGCTCACTCACTGTCACCGACACTGATACTCACGTACAACACTGCGTAGGTCTTGGTTTCGGTAGCTTCTCAGGGCTCTCCCTACCTATCCATCCCGCTACGATGCGAAACCCTGGAAGACTGGCGGAGATGATTGAGGTCAGTATCGGGGGCGCGATAAGATGAGATGAAATGACGAGGACACCCGCTTTGTGCCACGAGGAGAAGCAACGACTGCAGCAAGCAACATCAGATCGGACTCATGTTGCTACTGCGTGTTCCATGCTGCCGCGTGTACGTGTGCAATCGCACAGGAGAAAAAGGGAGACGGAGACACTGGAGTCTGGAGACATGATCACGCGGTTTCTGTCTCGAGCAGCAAAGCAACTTTCGTTCTGATTCAATCAGTTAGCCTCAAGTTCAATACTCGTTTCGTGGAATCGAGAGTAAGCTCGACTCGGTCCCCCATCCGCACTCGTCAACCTCCAACTCGGTTGTAAATTCCCATGCAAGACGCAAGCTGCAGGTCCCGTTTCCGCGCCAAGGTACCATCCCAGGTTCCCCTGCACCTTGCCTTTGGCCCTGCCGCCCTCTGCTCAGCAATGGTGCCTCCCGCTCTGTGACCACTGGCTGTCACTGCAGCACGCAGAATCTCTCTCTCATTCTTTTTCGCCTCACAGTACCTCCTATTCCTGCCCCTTCCTTCCCCCCATCATATGTGCTCGTCTAGGAGCAGGAGCATGGTCTTTTTGTCACAGAGTCTGTGTAGGTACTCCGTAGTGTATATACGTGCTAAGGTACCCTACCGTGCTGCTACCTTAGGTCGGCACTGGCAGCCGGTGGCGGTGGCGGCGTTGACACTGGCAGCGGCTCGTTATCCGTTGTCGTCGTCAACCGGCGCTTGGGAAATTGTGGCTGAGACGGCCCAAGCATTCAACATCGGTTTGTTGACTTTCCGTCCTTGTTCATCCGAGGCAGGACCTGGAGGCAGTTGAAGCGCCCGTCCCCTATTTCCCTTTTTGTTCTGCTCCTGATTTCCCTTGTTCACGCACATACGGATGCACACACACATATCGTTTGGACGGTATTTTACCATACCGTCCTCCGTACCTTACCATAAATCTTGTACGGGAGGCAAACCGTCCATCGCTTCTTCTATGTGTGGAAGCGATGGGCGGCAAGGACCATCGTCTTTCTTCAACATGGCAGGCTACCCCTGTACGCCCAATTTAATTCCAATCAACCATCCCACCCGCGTTCCCACGTCTTCTCCCAAGTGTGTCGGTTCATCAATCCAAGGCCCCGGCCACACCAACCAAACCTGGCCCGCCTGCTTCTTCTTTCTCTATCCGTTCCTACACAGTGATTTTTTTTTTCCCTGGCTTGATCCCGTAGCTGACAGAGTATGATAGTATTTGTACCTGTTTTCCCCTTGGACGTGGGCGACTGATTACCTGTCTCTCTTCCACAGCTCCCTACAGAAACAGACTGCCCTTTCTGCTTCCTTCTTTTTTCCCTCGTCCCTTTCAGTGTATTCCTAGTCTGCTAGTGTCCACCTTTTCCCTTTCCACACTTCATATCTGTAGGTACGAAATACTGCCACACAGTCTCTCTCTTCCCCTCCAAGTACCCTCGAGGATCGCGCACTTGGTTCATCCACATGCCCCCTGCTCTTTTCCCTAGCTCCATCACTCTCCCATTCCAATTCCCACACCCCCTGACGGCCTACCCTGGGAACTTCCCACCATCCCCCGTCCATCACTCTACGCCGTACCGGAGTCTCCTCTTCTTCGCTGCTATCCACGAATACGTCTTCGAGGTCCTTGCAAACTGGGACCTGTCTCTCTCCTAATTGCCCTAGCCTGGCCTCCCGTTCACATCGGCGCACTATTCGTACGCCTTTGCTTCCCCTACGCAGCACTACCTATCCGCCAAGACCCTCTTTTCCTTCTTCCAGACCTCTTCTACCTCTTCTTCCCTCATCTCCCACCCTTCCCCTCCTACTCCTTTCCTCCTTCTTCGTCTCTCCAGCTCACGACGAAATCTGGATCGCCAGTCTGTCTGTCTGCGTCTTCGTTTCCTAGCGGCAGAGATTCCGATCCCGCTCCCGACCACACATCTCACTCGTCATTGTCGTCGTCAACGTCTTCCCGATCACTTGCCGGTCCTATGATCGTGTCACTCGCTCAGCAACAATAACAGCACTGCTAGTCACTATCTTTAGTACCTACGTTTACGTCTTTCCTATGCGGTTCTCGCCTTGACGCCTTTTTCCGACCGTTTTGACACCTCTTGGCCCGTGGAGCTACATCGTCCGAACTACTGCTGCCGCCATTATTCTCTCTCCATCATCCAGAGTATAGCTTGGTCGGCATCTCTTGGCTGCTCTCACCAGCGATTGTGTATACCTCACCTTCCCCCGCCTCTCAAGGACGACACCCACTCACAACCGTCAAGCTGGACGAAAAACAACTAGAAGTTTTTATTCGGACAATGGGAGCTAAGCTGCCCAATCCGCATCGCGTCTGCAGCATGCGTAACCCACTTACGAGAACGCTGCTTTTTGCAGTCGTCGTCCTCATCGTCATGGCCCTCACCCTCAGGAACGATGCCATCGACGTTCGCGGCCGCATTATGAAGACGGGCGCCGGTGTCAAGTCATCAATCACGCATCAGCAGCCCCTGGACCCCGTCAAGTCGCACGGTTCCTCGTCGCTTTCCGAAAAGATCCCCGCCGAGCCCGCTCCCTCCTCAAGCCACGTCATGAACTGCGATATCAACACCGACCACATCAAGACCCTCAAGGACAAGTACGGCCTTTCCGAGAAGATTCACTACTTCAAGCGCTACGTCAGGTTCAGTCGCAAGCCCATTCAGCGCAAGGGTTACACTGTTTTGGATCAGGAGTTCCTCCCCAAGAAGTTCAAGACTGTCGACATCACAAAGTCGTACGCCCCTGAGGAGTGCCACGAGCCCCTGGATGTCCCCGTCACACAGTCTTCCTATCCTTCCACCGTCAACGCCTCCGACTTCATGTTCGCTGTTTCTACTACCTACAAGCGTTTCAATGACCCTAAGACAAGCCCGATTAAGGAATGGGCTCACTGGCTTACCGACAGCAACGGAAAGTCCAATGGCGGCAAGCTTTTGCTGTTGCTTCTTGACGCTAGCGACGCTGAGTTGAAGGACGCCAGCGACAGGCTCAAGAGGGTTGGAATTGACGCCGACGTCGCCCACTCCGACCCCTCCATGGAGATGGCTGTTCGCTACCTTACCCTGGTGCCTTATCTGTACAACCACCCTGAGAGAAAGACCAGAAAGTGGCTCGTCACTTGTGACGATGACACCTTCTTCCCCAGCATGCACGGTCTGATTGACAAGTTTGCTACCTTCGACCACCTCGACCCTCTCTACATCGGAACCCTTTCCGAGGACGTCAACGCCATTCACCGCCACGGCTCTCAGGCTTTCGGCGGTGCTGGTGTCTTCCTCAGCGTCCCTCTCGCGGCTGCCATTAACCAGCTCTACGAGTCTTGCAAGACGGAGACCAAGATCAAGGAGGCCAACTCAGGCTGGGGTCCTCAGGGCGATATCCTTCTCCGCAAGTGTATCTACGAAAATACCGAGGTTCGTCTGACCAATATTTGGGAGCTTTGGCAATTGGACTTGTACGGCGACCCAGCCGGCTTCTACGAGTCTGGTATCAAGCCCTTGAGCTTGCACCATTACAAGGGCGGCGGTTGGCATTACGCCAAGCCCCTCCAGTCTGCCAAGGTCGGACACGCTTGTGGAGAGGATTGCGCCTACCAGCGTTTCATTACTGCTGACGACTTCATTATCGCCAACGGATTCAGCGTTGCCCACTATCCCCAAGGTATCGACTTCAACTTGGATCAGATGGAACGCACCTTCACTCCTGCTCCGGATGACATTGGCTGGAACTTGGACTACATGTTCGGCCCCCAGCGCAGATCTTTGCACAAGACCGGTCGCAAGATTGCCTGGGAATTGCAAGAGGCCCACGTACAGGAGGATGGATCCGTACTTCAGGTGTACACTCGTCGGAAGGACGATGAGCGGTGGGTTGAGGAGGATGGCGAGCCGATGAGCAAGATTGACGGTGTCATTGAGCTCGTCTGGATCCCTTCAACATGAAGTGCCCTCGGAACTGCCGAGCACGACGATACGATACGACCAGAGGCATTCCCAATAACCTCTCGCCTCATGATATGACGGGTTAGGGTGATTCTGGCATTGCAAAAAAGCTCGAGGATGGATCAAAGCCCATTCGCAGCTCATTTCACGCATTTGTTCAACCCAGGACACCCCGGCCTGTTCGCAATAGCTGCCCTTCAGCTGAAATGGCACGGGCCCGTTTCGATTCAGACGGCAGCAAAAAAGTCAATCTGGCCGACAAAGAACGACAGGTTGCATTGCCCAGGGCACCTACCTACAATTACGACAACACCCCTGGACAGGATCATAATTATAATCCGCTGACCGTGATACACTCATTACAACACAACAACACTCTTCTTCGATTCGACTCGCATCTCGACTTCGGCATACAGCTCGCATTGAGCTTCGGCGTTTGAGTATGATACGGGGCATTTTTTCTACATTGACAGCATGCTGGCAAACGCTTACCAACTTTCCTTTCTTTTCTATCACTGCGGCATTGCATTGCACATAGATGGATTGCGTCGACGGATCGCGCAATCGGCACATAGACCTGTGACAGGCCGGACGTTTGGAGTCATGATAAGGACGTTGGGTGTCCTTTTTGGAGGTCAACCACCTGGTATGGTTTGATTTTGGTGCAAGGAAAGGCAAACATCGGTGCCTATGTAGAGTTCCAGAACAGGTGTATACCAATGCTACGAAATATTCAACAGTTGCAAACTTGATTTTACAACCTTCCGTACCTTAGTTCTTGAGAATCTGTGCCTTGGAGTCGGATCGCCATCGGCTGAGAGTTGCTCGAGATGGGACGAACCGCTCATTTGGGGCCTGATATCTCAGGCCTCAGTCAATAACGGTCGTCAGGCACCAAACTGATTTGTCTCAGCCACGCCCCGCCCCCACCCGAGGCAGGCTCGCGCCACAATGCACTCGTGCCCCGCCAACGTCAGTTCCAGCGCTGCTTCCTTTCCATGCTTCGAGCAATGAAGTCATGAGGCTTGTGACATACCGCGCCTAGCTCAAGGTTCTACAACGACGTACCCGAAGCCCCGAGAGGCACTCTTCCACCATGGCGACGTGAGTATTGCCTTCATACACACCAGTGTCTCTCCTAACTTTCTCGTCATGGCCAGCATTTCGAATATTCTGTCGTTGCCGTTCCGCAAGTCCACACAGCTCTCGCTCTCGTCGACGATACGACAGTACATCAACACCAAGTATGACCAACACCCGGACATGTTTCGTCAGGACCTCGAGGTCATCGACGCCCTACGACGAGATGCGGTCAACGTGAGGGAACCGCACCCTAGCGGCGTGAAAAAGCTGCAGGCTTATGCGGGACAGCTCGTGTGGATCGGGGGCAAGTTCCCGATCGACGTACGTCTAGCAATTTCCACCCAAACCAGAGAGAGATGGTAAGATCGCTAACGCAGATTGCGAACAGATCGGGGCTGAGTTTACCTGGTACCCAGCATTGGGTTACAACACTGAACGACCGATGGTGCGAAACAACCTCAAATACGAACTCATGAACATTCTCTACAACTTGGCCTCCCTCTACTCCCAACTTGCGGTCGCGCAATCAAGATCTGGTACGGAAGGTCTCAAGACGGCCGCGGGCCACTTTGCCTCGGCGTCTGGAGTACTAGAACATATGCTGAAGGAAGTCCTGCCCGAACTGCGCATGTCTGACCCGCCCGAAGACATGGACGCCAACACCCTCGAGTCTCTGTCCCAACTGCTCCTGGCACAGTCGCAAGAGTGCTTCTGGCAAAAGGCAGTCATGGATGGGTACAAGGATGCCATCATTGCTAGGCTGGCCGCTCGTGTCTCCGATCTCTACAACTCGGCGGGGGAGGCTGCTATGAAGAGCGAGGCGATCAGCTCTGCTTGGATCCACCACATGAGCGCAAAGCACCACCACTTCGCTGGTGCGGCGCAATACCGGGCCGCATGCGATTGTCTCGAGAAGAGGAAATATGGCGAAGAGGTTGCTCGCTTGCAGGACGCTGTGAGCTGTGTCAACGAGGGCTTGAAGGAGAGTCGGGGCGGCTACCTTAATAAGGCGGTGCTCGAGGATCTTAATGGTCTGAAACGAAAGGTCGAAGAAGATCTCAAAAGGGCAGAGAAGGACAATGACGTTATCTACCTTCGTAAGTAACGAAACCTAGTAAACAGAGGTCGCAAAGCTAACTCGAGAAGAACCTGTACCGCCAAAGTCGGAGCTCAAAATTCTTGACAGAGCCAATATGGCAGTCGCTAGAGTGCCTCCGCAAGTATCCAACCCGTTTGACTACGTCGGGGATCAGGCCGAGTTTGGTCCAGCACTTTTCACAAAATTAGTTCCGTTCTCCGTTCACGCCGCCATCACTATTTACGAGCAATTGCGCGATCGCATAGTCAACGAAAACATTATTGGTCAGATGGAAACCCAGACGGAAAAGCTTCATGCCATGCTCAGCTCTATCAATCTCCCGGGTTCGCTGCAGGCACTTGAGAAACCGCTGGGTCTGCCTCACAGTTTGGTCCACCACGCGGAGGAAATACGGCAGGCAGATGCTATAGGAAGGATTCAACGGGCCTTCTCGGATATCGATAAGTTACGGACTGCCGACATCGCCATCTTCAACGAAGGTAAAGCGATACTGGCAGCCGAAGAGGAGGAGGACAACCGAATGAGACGGAAGTACGGCACAGACAGATGGTCAAGACCGGAAAGTCGCAGCGACCCCCAGGGAGGCCAGTTCTGGGCTCAAGTAGCCGAGATCGAAGGCTACTTTGCGAGCAGTACCAGCAGTGATGCGGTCGTTCGAGAGAAGTACAAGGAGGTACAGGACTTGCTCGAGATGCTCTCTGGATCCGATCGAGCCATCATGGACTATGTGCCTTCCTCCAGGCGCATGGACATCCCAGAGCACCTGAAGCCGGTAATAGGTAGGCTTCGGGGGGCTTATAACGATGTCCTGCGACTCGAGTCCAAAAGGAGAAAAAAGGCTGAGGCGCTGCGGGAGAAGGCGAGGACGGACGACATCAAGCCGGATATCCTGAAAGAAGCTGCACGACTCGAGAGAACATACCCGACAACAGCAATTGTCCCGGCCCACTTTGAAGACTTTTTCGAGAAGCGTCTTGACAAGCTTTATGACACTGAGATCGAAGCGGTGGCCAAGGAAGAAGACGAGCAAGAGCGCCTCATGACTGAGGTGCAGAGAGTTAACCGAGAGTTTGAGAGTCAAAAGAAGAACATGTCGAGTGGTAGTCGCGAGCGGGAGCTGGCACTCCAGAAGCTTGACAATGCCTACTACAAGTACAAAGAAATCGTCAACAACGTGGACGTCGGTCGCAAGTTCTACAATGACTTGAGCAAGGTCGTGGGCCAGAACTTTCGCGATCCTGTCAAGGCCTGGGCTGCAGAGCGGCGGATGGATGCCAAGAGTCTTGAGGAGTAAGGAATGACCCCTCTGCGTATCAGCTCACCGTACTGACTAGTTTATAGGGAGGTCAGCATGCCGCCGCTCAATTCACTAAACCTAAACCGATCCCCGGTCCACTCCCCGACCGGCTCAAACTACGACCCGCGGCCCCAATCCTACTTTAGCGCCAGCGTCGTCCCCGGTACGACAGCCCAGCAGCAGCAGCCACCGTCGCGGCACGAGGTACACTCTCCCGCTGAGGCGCATATTCAGTCATGGGCTGGGTCGACTGTCGAGCCCCAGCACCCGAGACCCGCGGCGGCAATGTCGAACATGTGGCAGCCGGATATGGGCATCAAGTTCGGAGCTCAGCCGGGTGCACCAGCACCTCCCGGCGGATCAACACAAGGTCAGGGTCCGGCAAGCCAGCCGCCGCAAGGAGGCACCTGGAACCCATCCTCTGGGATCAAGTTCGGTTAGGATACGGATCGATTCCCACCGCCTGCGAAGAAGGGACGGTGAAGAGGGAGGTGGACGGGCAAGTCCGATGGAGGCTTCCATTTTGTCGGCTTTGAGCGAGTAGTTTGGCGTTGATGGGTTTGTGTCGTCTTGCTAGATGTACCATAGCTCCGTCGCAAAGCACGCTTGTCGTGTTTGCGGAATGAAGAATACGTATATGGTTCGTTCATGTATACTGAAGCATACTCAAGCATAGTCGAAGTACTCCGCCAATGTCGAACCGCCAGATGATTTCTCGTATGAATCCAAAGGGAAATTTTAAATCTGTTGCACGTGATGTCTTGCCAGTAGACCATTAATCAACATTGCGTCTTTGAGGGTTGTGTGGACTACTAGATCTCTGAAGCGGGGAGGATGTGTCATTTCACTAGATGTTCCTTTGAAAATTCGCCCCTTCCCCTCCTATCATCCAAATCAGTGTTCACAGCGAAGCGTAGGGTTCAAAAACATGCGCTATGACAGACAACATTTGAAATCTTGATTCGACACAGGTTCTTAAGAGAGACTCGGGGTGGAGGCGACTATGTATGGCTGGAAGCGGGATGTCCCAAGGGCGTGGGACGCTTGACGGTATTAGATTCCTCTAGAACGGAATTGGAGGTGAAGAAAGTTCGGCGCTAATTCTAGCCTCATGGCTTTTTGGAATGTTTTCTCCATTTTTTGCGCCTCTTGTCTCTTTTTTCTTCTTTTCTTGTTCGGCCGATAGAAATTGGAGAAAAGAAGTCTGGGGGTTACATGGCATTTCAACCGCAGTTGACCGCGGGTTACAAGGCAAGAGAGAGCGGCAAGACCAAACAGATGATAACATGCTCTAGGAACCGCTTGACTCGGAGCCAATTTGGAATCGGTAAGTGCAAGCGCGACGTTTTGCCGGGGAAAGGGTTTGTGAACCAGTCGGTGACGTCGCTGAGTCAGTATCTGCCGATATCATTTCGGACACGATCCGCGGTAGCCGTTGAAGAGTCTGCAATTTGTACAAGGTATGCAGTTGCCGGTCAGGGAACAACTGCCTCATGTATGTATTGGTGGTCTACACGGAAG